TTTTTTTTTTTTTTTTATCACCTTTAGCGTGACAAATATTGTTGCAAAATATTAATGTTTTAGGGATGACTAAGATTATTATAAGATGCAACAATTTACAACAACTTAAAATGTTGTTAAATAATATATTTGACAATAACAATGATTGTTGGAAAATATTAAAGTTTTTTACAAGATAAAACTTTTTGCAATCACTTATGGTATTGTTAAATAATATATTTGGTAGAATCAAATATTGGCACTAAAAGATGACACCATAACCACTATTTCATTGTTGCCATTAGTCTCTACTTACAGCTCATAAACATATGTACTTTTCTTTACTTACGGTTTTTCAAATGTGATACAGGCTCATTAACCTTTACCTATGACACATAAAGCTGTAAAAATATGACCACAATCGCAGCTAATAGCTAGATATCTATGACTACATTACATATACTTGGTATGTTTTTTTGCCATAATAGCAATGGCTTCTGTCTGCAGCCATATGGAAAGTTTGATGTGTAAAAGTAGAATTAGATAGTACTATTTAACCAATTTTTCACAGTTCATGTAATAAATTATTTAAAAGATGGGGTCAGACACTTGCAAAAAAAAAAAGCATACCGACCAGATTCAGATGCTGCCGCATGTGTAAAGGGCCCTCAGTTGAGCTGCCACTAAACCGTTTGGATTGAGGGAGTTGAGGAAAAAGGGAGGAGAGTGAAGGAGAAGTCTCTCCTCTTTCTTCTTTGGATAAAGTTATTAAAGAAGGGGGATCGAGGGAGAGGGAGATAGAGGGACCATGGATTCTTCCAAATCCTTTATTTTTAATCCCTCCAATTTGAGAAGATTTAGAAGGATTCGATTTACTTTGATTTTTTTTTACTTTTTTTCAAAAATGTAATTAAAATTTCTATTTTAGTTTTAATTTTAATATATAAATTTATAAAATTTTAATTATTTTTATAATTATTTTAAATTTAATTAATTAAATAAAAAAATATAACCTTCCTTTCCATTTCCTTCCTCTTTTTTTAATCTATCAAAACAAAATTAATACTAACATTTTCCTCTCATATTCCTCTCTCTTTTTACTGCCCCTCTCTTTCCTTCACTTTCCTTTACTAATTTTTATCCAAACATATCTAAACAGTTAATATTAAGTAAAAAAAAGGGAAAACAGTTTCTAGAGTTCAGGGTACGCAGAGACTTACAAGTTTCTGCTTCGGTACTTCTGACGAACTGATAGTTTCATGTATTGTGGAACTCGGTGTTTCGTTCTTTCCCTGAATCGTGCCACAATATTATTCAAGACAGTTTGAAGGGAAAAAACAAAGCACTTTATGATGGTATCATTTTCAAAATTTTGGAAAAAATATAATTAAACTGAAAAAAAGATTTTTTCAGTTTCTCAAACAAAGTAGAATTTTGTAGCAAGAATTCACTTTTGGAAAACATAAAAAAAAGAGAACTCTAACCACATAAAATTTCCACATTCAGTATCAAAATTTAAATGAGAAAGAAAAAATAATATTACTAAACAGTTAATAAGACTATTTAATAAGATTTTGTCAAATATGTTTGTGATTTTTAGATTTTAGTTTTGGTTTTAATAAATTTTACAATTACTAAAAATCAAAACTAAAAATTAAAAATTAGCAATTTCTTTAAGATGAATTTTTTGACTCTAATAACAAAAAAGTATAAACTTGTTTAACAATATATAGACTTTTTTTGTTTCTTATTTCTCTATTATTCATAATAATATATTATAAAAACAAATAAAAGTAAATGAGGTTTTTAGTTAAAGTTTCAAAATTTATAAAAACCAAAAACTACAACTATAGTCCATGAAGCCTAAGTTTCTATTTCTCTGGTTGAGGAAACTTACATGTTCACCGCTGTGCGAAACCTGCAATTTGTCAAATCTAGTAAGTTGCTTCTCCGCTTCGCTTAGCTGCCTGTAAAACCAAGCTTCGTTTACTTCCGCCTCAAGCTCGGCTTTCCTTTTTTCCGCCTCGAGCTCGGCTTTCCTTACTTCCGTCTCAAGCTCGGCTTTCCTTTTTTCCGCCTCGAGCTCGGCTT